AAAAGCTGAAGATTTCACATACAAATTCAGATTTCTAGTGTCTCTTGGAAAATTGGAAGTCTTGGTTACCCCAGGCATCATTCCCCTCCCCCCCGCCCCCATGCCAGCAGGCTGCTCTCAGCTCTGCAGTCCCCCCCCGCCCCGGCCCTCCTTGGCCATTTCTGTGACCTGCCTGCCTTGCTGAGTTTGAGTCCCCAGTGTCAGCCTCCAGGCTCTGAGGTGCTGCCCCTCCTGGAGGCTCCCCACTCTGGGAGGTTCGCCCCCCCACCCATCTCCCTCCCCAGAGCCCAGCAGCCCTCATACCACACCTGACCACTTACAGCTATTGACTTTTTCTTCACGGCATTTTACTTGCAGTGACATGCCTGTGAGGTGACCAGGATGGGTGTACCTGCCCACCCCTCTCACATGTCAGATGAAGAAACAGACCAGAAAGTTTGGGAGACTCTCCCAAGGTCACACAGCAAATCCACAAGGGTCTGACCCAGCCCAGGAAGTGGAGAGGGATTAGAAGAGTGACTGTCTTTGGGCGGGAGAAGACTTAGCTTAGTGCTGGGGCTGGTGGAGTCCCTCCCGTACCAGGGGGAGAGGGTTCTGGGCCCCCCTGGGGAAGGTGTGCAATTGAGGAGTGTCAGGCCCAGATTGAAGGGAGGCTTGGAGAGCGCTAAGTGAAACCTCCCTGCTCGCATTGTACTGAGGGGAAGACTGAGGTCTGAGGATGAGGGCTTCTCCCCAGAGCCCCTCAGCCTGTGAGGAACAGAGGGAGTGCCCTTCCAGGAGGCGGTCTTGGGCTGGGTTGGTCCCAGCGGGGCTGCCCTTCTGGGGCCTCCCTTCAGATAAGCCTGGCTGCCTTATCTGAAAGACAGGTGGGGCCCACAATGGCATGGGGCCTTTAGCTGCCAGGCACCGAGCCTGGTGCTTAAGTTTAGATAATATTCTTTATCTCAATGAGGCCTCGTACCCCTAGGAACTGCGCACAGAATTACTGCTACCACCTTAGGAACGTGGGCAGAGAATGGATTGGAAAACCCACATTCCAGCCTCTCAGGTTGATAATGACAGTAGAATGCGTTTATCTAAGTCCCTTAGGTATATTACCTTTTTTTTTTTAAGTTTTTTTTAAGATTTTTTATTTGTCAGAGAGAGAGCGTGCGCATAAGCAGAGGGAGGGCAGTGGCAGAGGGAGAAACAGGTTCCTTGCTGAGCAAGGAGCCTGATGTGGGACTCGATCCCAGGACCCTGGGATCATGACCTGAGCTGAAGGCAGCCACTTAACCAACTGAGCCACCCAGGCGTCCCTGTATATTACTTTCATCTCAGAACTACCCCCTGAGGTAGGCACATTTTGAAGATGAGGACACTAAAGCACAGAGAGGTTCAGCGACTTGGCCCAGGTCACGTAGCTGGTAAGTTGGCAGGGCCAGAGCCTGACCCAGGGAGTTAGTGGGCCAGCCTTCCATCAAAACTGATGGCGGGATCACAGTCAGATCAGGACATCCATCTGCTGTCAAAGAGTAGCTAAGATGTATTGGTTTCCCGGGGCTGCTATAACGAAAACACCATAAACTGGGAGGCTTCAGACTCTACGTAGAAAGTTACTGTCTCACAGTCCTGGAGGCTAGAAGTTCACAAGATGTTGGCATAGTTGGTTTCTTCTGGAGGCTCTGAAGGAGAATCCGTTCTGTGCCTCTCTCCTGGCCTCAGTCCTTGCTGTTCCGGCTGCTCACAGGTCGCCTTCCCAGTGAGATCCTTCTTGGCCTCTTACCTGAAATTGCAAATGACCCCACTGCCTGTCTCTTCTCAGCTGCATTTTTCCCATAGCACTTACCCGGTGGCTCGCTTGCATTCACCAATGCATTGGGCTTTTATCTGGGTCCCCTCAGTAGAGAGGGAACAATGGGAGAGCAGGGCTGTTTGTCTGTTTGGCTCACAAGGCAGTACGTGTCCGGTAGATACTTGTTGAATGAATGATCCCAGAGAGGGGCATCTGAGCTGCAAGGCGACTGTCCTGGACCGAGGAGCCTGGGCCAGGCCCTGGAGACAGGTGGCCTTCTTCTGCTCTCCACCCTCGGCTACCTCCTGCTGTCCCCCTCTCTCTGGAAAGTGGGGTTTACTCTTTTTTTTTTTTTTTAAGATTTTATTTATTTATTTGAGAGAGCGAGAATGAGAGAGAGAGAGAGCACATGAGAGGGGGGAGGGTCAGAGGGAGAAGCAGACTCCCTGCTGAGCAGGGAGCCCGATGCGGGACTCGATCCCGGGACTCCAGGATCATGACCTGAGCCGAAGGCAGTTGCTTAACCAACTGAGCTACCCAGGCACCCCAAGTGGGGTTTACTCTTGCACAGTGGACCACAGGACAAGTCCTCTGGCCCCTTCTTCTGGCTAGAGGACGGGTCCACAGCCGGAGGGAGAGGAGGCCGCTCAGGCTAGCCGAGGGGTCAGTGTATGTGGGACCGCCCTGTCCTGAGCGGGGTCTCCCTGGGGCCCTAGGCTGGGGTGCTCCGTTCAGATTCTTGGGGCTGGGGGAGAGTGGACGGGAAAAACCAGTCTATCTGGTTCCGAGGGGATGAGTGGACCTTTCCTTGTTTGAGGGCAGAAACCGAGGCAGCTCCCGGGGCACAGGGCCAGGTTGGCAAAGCCAGGAGGAACCCCAGAAATTCCTGCTGCTTATCTGGCGGCTTCATCTCTCAGAGGCTGCACTTGCTGATCTGGAGACCCGGGGCTGGGCTGGAGGGCAGGGCAGAGCCAGGAGACAGCTTCAGGTGTCCTCTCGCCTTTCACACATCACTAAGTAACTCTCACTAGTCTGGGTTCAAATCCTGCCCTGCTCTTTCCCCCCCGGTTGACCTTGGGTGGCTACAGCCACATTTCCCTCTGAGCTTGTGTTTGGAAAATGGGGAAAATACATAGTACCAACCGATGAGGGGGTCATGGGGAAACCGTGAACCTCATGGCTTACCTGAGGCCTGGCACAGAGCCGGAGGGCGTTCAGTGGTTGTTGTGGCCAGATCTAGGAGTAATCATAACGATAATTGATTGGTAGGTGCACATTAGGGTGAACCCAAATTGGTCTTCTCTTGATTTTCAGTTCAGTGCCTTTTCTAACTTCCCTTTCTGGTGGTTGGAACAGGCAGCACGTTGGCTTGGAGGCTTATAAGGACTCTGACTGAAGTGGAAAGATGACTGTTTGTCCCTGATGAGTCCAGTTCTCACCTGGGAGGGTCCTGGAAAGTGCTGAGTTGGGGGGGTGGTTCTCCTTCAGAGCAGTGGCCTCACCCAGCTCTGGGGGCTCTTGGCCCCCCTGATATGTCTGTCTCGGGCAGGGTGTCCTGAGGATGAGTGGTAAAAGGTGGGGGTCCTGGGCTGAGACACCCCGGCTCTGGGTCCTCACCGGCTCTGCCCCCGGCTTGTGTTCCTGCAGGCACAGGGCCCTGCCACCTGTCCCTCCTTCCTCGCCTGCAAAGTGGGCCGCACGGGCCGCTGCCAGGCCGTCTCTGGTGGGTGGCGGGGAGCGCAAAGGGGGCAGCCCTGAGACCGGCGGGGAGCCATGTGGGTGGCATCCCTGCTGGAGAGAAGGAGTGGATGCCTTTCTCACCCCAACCCCCCCACCATGGGCTGAGACCTTTCCCTGGGTGGAGGGGGGCAGGGCCAGCAGCACGTCCACCGATTTCACACCTGCTTCCTGTGCAGGGCAGGTTTCTGACCTCCATTTCACGGATAAGGAAACTGAGGCTCGTTAGCTCTGTGCACATATGTACTGAGCAGGTAATATGGGCACCGCTGGGCCCTGGAGATACAGCAGTGACCAAGCTCGGATTCCTCCCGGGACCTGTGTTTTGGCGGGGAGACTGGAATTGCCCCCGGGGAGCTGCACAGAGAGGGAAAGGTGCTTGCCCAGGGTCCCACAGCATGGGCAGGATTGAAGCCCAGCTGTTGGCTCCCAGGCCTGGGGCTCCACCTCCCACTTCACAGTGGGAAGAAAGCCAACCACACCCTTCCCAGGCCTCTTGTGCAGGAGGGGCAGGAGGAGGAGAAAGGAATGTTTTCCTAGGGATTTCTGGACTCCTGGCCCACCTGGCTAAGATCATTCCTGCCCTGACTGCGCACATGTAGGGGGATGGGTACGGAAACATCCCTTTGATCCTTGGCAGGGGCACTGGGGCGGGCATGTGCAGCAGGTGCCTGGTGCTGGCCGTGCTCCAGGGTGAGCACCAGCTCTCCAGGGGCCGGTATAGGAGCTTTCGGCCAGGGGAGTTTTTGTCTCCAGAACCGGCAGCCAGAGATGGATCTGGCTCCTGAGCCTCTTCTCTGTGATCCGTCTGCTGGTTGGCTCATTTTCTGGCTGTGGCAGGGTCCCCTGGAGCCTTGCTGCCACAATGCCTGGATGCCATCCAAGGAAGAAGAGGCACAGTTGTCTTTGTGCTTCTTTATCAGCAAAGGAGCCTTTCTCCAAAGCCCCCCGCTAGACCATCCCTGCCTCAGCAGCCAGCGCTGAATCATGCCTAGCTCCAGAGATTCCAAAGCATGCCTTTATGGAGAAGGGAGGATGCCCCAGCCTCGGGGATCTTGGGCAGCAAGGAAAGGGGTGAAAGCCGTGGAGGAGGCCAGGATGGCTCCATGGGAGGTGTACTGGCCGCCTGGATGCAGCTGTGGATGAGACAGTCACTGTCCTGCCCTCAGGGAACTCAAAAGTCAGGGGAAGGAAACAGAATCCTGGTCCTGGGTGGTGGGTGCCGGGGGGGGGGGGGCAGGCAGGCACAAAAGAAGGTTCTAGAACCCAGACTGGAGGAGCAGGAAAGGTGTCCCATAGCGTGCAACATTTCAGCTGAGACCCGAAAGGAAGAGTTACCAGGCAAGGGCTTGGTATACAGTGGTATGCAGTAGGAGCCAAATAAATATTTCTTGACTAAAGGAGAAGTGTGTCCTGCAGAGGGAGCCCCGTGGCCTCCAGCCAGAGTGGTGGGGGCTCTGGGGACTCTGGCCCTGTCTTATCCCTCCAGGTGCTGGGGCTGCTGGTGTGGGCCCTGATTGCCGACACCCCATACCACCTGTACCCGGCCTACGGCTGGGTCATGTTTGTGGCTGTCTTCCTCTGGCTGGTGACAATCGTCTTCTTCATCCTCTACCTGTTTCAGCTGCACATGAAAATGTACATGGTGCCCTGGCCGCTGGTGGTGAGTCCCAGTGGGAGCACGGTGTGTGTGTTGGGGTGGGGGGGCATTGCTTCCAGGCTGACCCCTCTGCCTCTGGGAGCAGCTGTGACAGAGCCACCTTCCCTACATGAGAAGTGGCTGGTGGGGGTTGGCTCTCAGCCAGCTGCAGAGCTGAGTGGGGGAGGGAGGATCGATGGCCACAAATTAGGGAGGACACAGGCTTGGCTTTCTTCAGGGAAGGGAGTAGAAGTGAGGGGCTCTCTTTTTTTTTTCTTTCTTAGATTTTATTTATTTATTTGAGAGAGAGAGCACAAGCAGAGCGAGCAGCAGGCAGAGGGAGAAGCAGGCTCCCTGCTGAGCAGGCAACCCGATGCTGGACTTGATCCCAGGACCCTGGGATCACAACCTGAGCCAAAGGCAGACGCTTAACCACTGAGCCACCCAGGCGCCCCATGATGGGCTCTTAAATGGAGAACCCGCTGCATTTGGAATCTTGAAAGTGTTTTTCTGGTTTGGGGGGCAGTTGGGATTTGAACCTGTGTTGCAGGAGTTCTGTCAGACTCTAGCAGCCCTGAGCCTGGGGGCTGGGCTGAGCTATCAGGAATTACCCAGGATGAGGCCCCGACAGCCCAGGAGAGGGTAGCCTCTCCGCTTTGTCCAGGTCAGTCTCCTCGGCACACAGAGCTGAGAGTGGCCATAGGAAGTACCCCGGCCAGATAACAGAAAGCTTGCTGGGCTTTTTTCTCTGACCCGGAAAACTCCTGCAGCTGGGGTCTGAGGCTTTTCAGTGAGCAGTGAGGCAAGAGAGGCACATGATTGTAAGGCAAGCAAGGCCGAGACTAGGCGGCATTGTTTGGAATTCAATGACTGTTTAAACTGAGGAAACGTGAGTCATCCTCAAGACAGAACGGGTTTGTTAGATCTTGACATCACTGGCAGGAGCCAGGCAGTGTTTGTGGTGGGCGCTGGGCTTGGAGGGAAGATCCTGGGATGAGGAGGGGATGGCCGGACTTCCTGGCTAGGTCCAGCCCTGGCCCCATGTCCTAGGAGCTTTGAAGAAAGAAATCTCCCAAGATGGCGGGGACCTCAGTGTCTCTGAGCACAGATCTGGGGCTCCGGCCACAGCTGTTGTTGGAAGGAGGCTCCTTTCCTGGGCCAAGATAGCAGGGCAGTGTCTCTTAGACTCCTGGGCTTATTAGCAGATGAAGCTTGACTGCATCTAGAGATGACTGGATTGGGTTTGTCAAATTGGCATTTTCTGGGATGGGGGCTACAAGCCCCCTATGGGGCCTGGGCAAGGTGAGTGAGTGAAATAGGTCAAGAAGGGGTTCTGGAGAACCTGTACCCGCCTCTCCATAGGGAACCACCTCTGCCCGGCTCCTACTCTCAGTGGGAGTGGGCCCCTTGGTGCCAAATCTTAATATTTTAAGATTGAAAGTTTTATAGGAGATCGTCAGCTTTTCATTTGAAATCTCATTTTAGAATGTTGGCAATTTTTTTTTTTTTTTAATCTATATAGGTTGAACCAAATGTGCCTGAGGTCCACCAGTTTGCAGTCTCTGCTAAGACTGTTTACTGGCTCCAGGGGCCAAGCGGTTGGGGAAATGGGACTCGGGCCTGAATGTCAGCTGAGGGTCCTTTCTGCCAGAGTGGCCCAGAATTCTGCTGGGTCCTCACCCTGGCATTTGATGTGGCGGCCTTGAGCCTAGGATGTGGCCCAAAGGCAGACACAGATTGCTCCCCCTGGAGGCAGAGAGGGATGGGAGGTCTTCCCAGGGCCAGCCTCAGGACCAAGACCTACAGTGCCAAGGGGGTCAAGCTTGCATGGAAGAGCGTGGCCCTGGAATTCTTTAGCTGGTGCTCTCAGAGATGGCCTTGGCTTTGTCTCCTACCATTGGGAATGGGGTTTTGCCTTGTGGGGCTGTCACCGCCCCTGACCAGATCACTTCAGGCCTTCTCATCATTTCCCCTCCCCTCTCAGCCCTACGTGTGTTTACGCTCCCCGCTCAGATGGCCTCCGGGTTGACCCCATGTGGATTGCCATCCCGAGGAGTGTAGTATCCGTCCCCATCCTTGAGCCCCAGCCCCTGTTCTGGATACTAAAGGGGTGTGCCAGGTATGTGTGGGGGAACCAAGAGGTTCCACACTTAATGTAAGAGTCTGCTGTCTTAAGCCTGTTCTCCTCTCCCCCTACCCTCCAGTTAATGATATTCAACGTGGGCGCCACTGTTCTCTACATCACGGCCTTCATCACCTGCTCTGCTGCCGTCGAGCTGACGTCACTGAAGGGCACCCGGCCCTATAACCAGCGTGCGGCGGCCTCTGTGAGTATGGTTCCCCGGGGGCGCTCTTGGCAGTGATGGGGGCAGGGAATGGGTCAAACCAAGTCTGTGCCCCTGGACTTCTACCACTCTCTGGTCCGAGGCCAGCACCTGCCACCCCCGAGGGACCTCCTTCTCGGGGGCTTCAGGGACACTGAGCTTTGTCTTCCATAATTAGCAGTAAACCTCAAGGAACCGGAACACTTGGGAAATACTTTTGACGGTAAATGGAAGTTTTGGGTTCATTGTTGAACTTTGCTGGCAAGCAGGTGCTCCATACTGACTTAGAGTCCCGTGCCCCCTTGGAGAATCTGTTAAAAACTGCCCACCGTTCTTGAAAAGGGTGCATGCAGACCTTTTGGTTGAAACCATTTGGGGGGATTTATAGCTCTCAGGAAGCCCAAACTTGGGCTCCATCCACATCAAGCAGCCAGCGGCAGACCAGTAACCCTCGTCCACACCTGTCACGCCTCAGTCCATGGGCCCTGCACAGACATTTCCTCACAGGACCCCCTGATTTCCACAGTGAGGGGACAGGAACTACCAGTCCTGTCCCCTCTGGACAGACAAGGAAACTGAGGCTCAGAGAGGTGAACACACCAAGGCGCAGTCCAGGGTAGGGCAGGAGCGAGACCAGGGCGTGGGTTTCCTCAGTTTCAGAATGTGGCTGCAGGGCATCTTTGAACTGATTCCAGAAAATTCCTTGGGTACCTTTTGAACGTTGTCTTTTTATAATTTTTTTTTTTTAAAGATTTTATTTATTTATTTGACAGAGAGAGAGATAGCGAGAGCAGGAACAGAAGCAGGGGGAGTGGGAGAGGGAGAAGCAGGCTTCCCGTGGAGCAGGGAGCCCGATGTGGGACTCGATCCCAGGACCCTGGGACCATGACCTGAGCCGAAGGCAGACGCTTAACGACTGAGCCACCCAGGCGCCCTGAACGTTGTCTTTTTAAAACTAAGTCCCTGATGTGTGTCTGGGAGTTCCTACACCTCGGTCACTCTCAGCACATTGTCCAATAGCCCGTGTCAGTCTGATCTACCTTGCCTGCGTGGTTAGTCATGGTTTCCCCCACAAGAATGTAACGTCGGCACCCCCACAAATACGTGGGAAATGAGTGTGTGGCTAATTGGAGTTGGCGTGGCTACCAGAGCGGCTTGTTCTAGTTAACTGGGGGGCGCTACTCCGGGTGTGTGTGTGTGCCTGTCTGAGGCTGTCTGGGGCTCGTATCTGTTCCCCCTGTGGCCCCCCCCACCCCGCCCAGGGCCACGCTGCACACTGACTCAGCTCTGGTGTCTTCCTCTTCCAGTTCTTTTCGTGTTTAGTGATGATTGCCTACGGAGTGAGCGCTTTCTTCAGCTTCCAGGCCTGGCGGGGAGTGGGCAGCAATGCAGCCACCAGTCAGATGGCTGGGGGCTACGCCTAGACCGCCCGTGCCATGGCCCACCTTGGGGCTGAAGGCTGCAGCCGGGTCCCAGCGTGGGGCGGCCCGTGAGCCCGAGGCCTGAGCCCTCTGTGGAGTCGGCCTGGAAGGGACTACACTTGTTCTGCTCGTCAGACTCGGGCTCACCCAGCACTCCTAAGGAATCAGGATCCATCCTCTGGTTTGGCCCAAGTCAGCACGCACAGGGGCTGGAAGGAGGCCAGTGGCTGAGACCGTCTGCCCATCGTCCGTATTTAGTGGAAGGTGACGGGGGATACGGGGCTGTCAGTGTCTCTGCTTTGTCTTTTGACTTCAGTGTCCCAGGCTGGGGCCCAGGCTTCTCACCAACACTAAGTGCACTAACAAGGACTCCAGACCTGCAGCCCCCGACCCTCCGTAGAATAAGCCTAACAAGCTACATGTATTTATCTTAGTCTTTGTTCTGGGACTGCAGAGCAAGTTTTCGAAACCGGTCTGATTCCTTAAAACACAATTTGTTTCTTCGTAAGTAGGCTCCATGCCCCGCGTGGAGCCCAGTGCAGGGCTTGAACTCAGGACTCTGAGACCTTTGTGGAAAGAGTGTTATGGTATCTGACGGCATGGTCTTCCTTTCCTGCATTCCAAATGTGCGAGTGATTTCAAACAGTCGGTTGGAAGCAACTTCTCAGTGATGAAATACCCAGCCGGCCTTCCTCCCTCTCCCCAGCCCTTGTTTGTAATACTCCCCTGGGGAAAAGCTAACCATGCTGACTGCTTCCCTGACCCTGCTGATGAGGCACGGGGGCCATGGAGGAGGGAGAGGGAACCGGGACCTTGCCTGGTGAGTTGTCCTGTGCTTGGTGGTGACTTTGTTTTTTTGTTTTGTTTTTTTTTTTTTTACAAAAATAAAGATGGAAGAACTTATTTGGAAAAGGTGTTGGGTAATCCTGGTTGTAGATGCTTATAAATTCTGGGAAGGTGCAGGTAAGGATGGCAGTGACAGGGGTTCCAGATGCCTGTGGAGGGCAAGTCCGGTTCTGGAGTCGCTCAGCAGCACCCGTGACGTCCTTGACCGGAGGCGGCCTGACCCACTTCCTGCCTGCCCTGCCGGGGACGGCCCTGCCTAATGCCGTGTGTCCCGACAGGTTGAACAGCGCCTTTTACTCTCACAAGGGTCTCCGTTGAATACTAAATCATGACTCTAGCTTTAGGCTCATTAGGTCATCTTGCTGGACTCAAGATTGCCCTCCTGTCAGCTCCCTGGAAGGTTTTGTGCAATTCAGGGAGCATGTCATCAAAGCCAATGGCCACGCTTGATTCGGGAAGCTGGCGCAGACCACAGCGAGGGGCAGTCCTCCTGACTGAGCTCGTGCTTCTGCTGCCACCAAGTCACATGCTTTGAATCATCAGCTGAAGGCATTTTTGGGCACCTCTGGGTCCTTTTTGGACAACCCGGGGACAATCAGAATGTAAATACAGCGGTCTCCCGATTCACATTCTGACGTTCTGCGGTTTCTGTGACTTGTGGCCAACGGTGGTTGGGAAGCAGATGATCCTCCTGAGAAGGCTGACAGCAAGGTCGCTCTGCTCCCGGCTCCTGCGCCCTCCTCCTCCCTTCTCCTCTCCTGTCGGGGCTGTGTCAGTTCCCATCATCAGAAGAGTACAGGACAGTAAGAGATCTTGAGAGACCACACTCACGTAACTTTTGTTAACAGTATGTTGTTAGAATGGTTTTATTTTATCTCTTACTATGCCTTTTGAAATTGAACTTTTATCATGGGGGGGATGTAGAGGGAAAAACACAGTAGAGAGTGTTCAGTGCTATCCGTGATCTCAGGTATGGGGGGGCGGGGTCTTGGGACAGAGCCCTGCAGATGGCGGGACAGCGAGTCGCACAGTTGTGGCAACAACTCCAGCTGGGAGGGGGGGGGCCTTGGGGGTGTGGCCAGACACCCACGTCCCAGTCAGCCCCGGACAGGTCCAGTTCTGCCTGTTGGAAACACAAACAGCAGCCCTTTTTATTCTCAAGTGTCTCAGAATTTGATCAGTTTCTAGTTGTTCCAGGATTCAACCAGAGAAGAGAGTTCAGTCTTAAGGATCGACCCATTTTCTTTTGAGGCTAAAGAGGACACAAAATCGTAAGGAAGTCTTCAATGTTTCTGACCTGCTACAACAGTCTACTCCCTTGCAGATGTCAGTGTGCTCAGACTCCTCCCTTTTGGTTCAGGCCTGTGCCCCCCCGATCCTTCGACCCCGCAGTTCAGGTGAATATTGCTTTCCACGGGTGAGGAGGCTCCACCAGCCCTGAGCCCCTCAGAGGTGACACACGAGAACAGAAGTTCCTGTGTGGACAGAGACAGGCTTCTAGTTCGTGGTTTTTTTGTTTTTTGGTCTTTTTAAAGATTTTATTGCAGAGCGAATGCAAGCATGAGCAGGGGGAGAGGGAGAAGCAGACTCCCTGCTGAGCAGGGAGCCCGATGCAGGCTCAATCCTGGGACCCCTGGGATCATGACCTGAGCCGAAAGCAAACACTTAATCAACTGAGCCACCCAGGCGCCCCACTAGTTTGTTTTATAAGAAATCAGAAAGCCTATCTGCTAATATTTAGCTACAACAGGCTTCCTGCTTTTTTTTCCCTCTGAGTGGAAAAGAACCATTTGCTTCTGTTTTTGTTTTTCGTAAGTGATTCTTTGGACTTGTCGACATCCATGGCTTTTTCCCACCAGGCAGACCGACCAACAGGTCTTCAAGTACTTCGAACATGCTGGGCCTACAGTGCGCAGGCCTCTTTATCAAAAGGGCAAGAAGGGAAAGCAAGGCCAGGAGAGGCAGCATTTGAAAAAGCTGGCAAGTCTTCGGCTTGAAAGGGGTGAAAGACCAGAGTAGCAGTGACCCAATGGCAGCCACGACAGTAAAGAAGGGAAGACCCTGTGAAGAATCACAGTTCTTGCAACGCACCTCCAGGTTTACTCATGGTACAAAAGTATTTAATAAGCGCCATACATCAGTACAGAAAAACACAGTCTATATAGCTCATACTTTAAAACCAGAACAGGTGACTGAAATCCGTATAGAGTCTCATTTTTACTTAAAAACAATAGAGGGTACACACTGGGAATTGAAATACCGTGTTCTTTCTTTCTAGAGATGGGACATCCGTGTTTTCTGGTCAGTAATTTCTATGAAATACTGTGCTAAATCAAAGCATACAGGTGACCAGTAAAGCTGTCTGCTCTCTCCTAACTCATGCTCAACTAGCTCAGTGGAACACCATCTTGGTAGGGAGATTTTGATAGGAGGAAGGAACTACAGAGACCCTACCCCAACAGAAAACCTAACAAATTTATTTATACAGAAAGGGTTTTAGCAAACCTGTACAAACACTTAACATGCTGCAGGAAAGGAAGACCTTTGAGCCTACTTCCAGCATAAGCACACACTTGTTGGCACCCAGTAAACCAGGAAGGCCAACATAGAAAGCATTTTTGCTTTCGTAGCACTAACAGCTAAAAAGCACACAGCATATAATACTTTGATCTTTAAGTGGGTAATCATGGAAGCTCCAAGATTATATCCACTAGGTTAGCCTGAGTATTTTTCTATAAAAATATTTTTCTAAAAATGCTTAAGAGAATTCTAGAAACAGACCACATCAGGACCAGCATAAGACAGTAATGCAAGGACTGCAAAATAAGACAAGGAAATGATTTTCACGTGTAGCTTCAGGCAAGGGACATCTCTCAGTTGATTCTAACTAGCTGGAATGGGATGAGATGCAGAAAGCTCAGCTGGGCGGGCAGCTGGCTTGATTAACAGCCTAGAGACACGTTACCCCACAGGCAAAAAGCCCATTGAGGCTGCAAGTCTGAGAGGGATGAATACAGAGGGCTGTGTGAGCACACAAAAAGCCTGGAGGACATGCAGAGCCTGCTGAGCCAAAGAGGGCTGGAGATGGTGGGTTCTTCCAAATGCTGCTGACCTACCAACACGTATGCTGGGGAAGGGGCAATGCTGGCCTTGGGCTTGCTCTGGCGGAGCCTGACGCAGAGGCCTGAGAGGGGTGTGCTTGGGGAGGAGTGCTAGGATTACTGAACATGAGAAGGTGCTTCAGGGTCTCAGGAGGTTCAGACAATTGTCTTCTAACCCATCAATACTTAACATTAATAAGGAGTTGCAGAGTAGCAGTCTTTCCAACATGTATTCTGTCACATTGCCAGAGCCTCTTCCAGTCTATTGGCTGGCAATGTCCAGAAAGATCGCATTGCCTGGTGGTGGGACCTAGGGCTGCAGGTCATTCTGGGAAGCTGGCACAGAAGATGATTTGCACAATGAAGTCACCACTAAACCACTGCTTAAGTCCAGTCCCCGGCCTTCTTTTTCCTGCGTGAGAAAAAAAACAATCCTAAGAGGCAAGGAATAGGAGGGGGAAAAAAAGTCCTTTCTAGAAAGCTCAGAACCCTGTCTCTGGCATGGGGTTAGGAGGTGCTGGGCTGGGAGGGTGGGCCACAGGGGAGCAGACTGGAGAGGGAAGGAAGTTATTTTGCATTCTTGTTCAGCACTGGCCCCGTCATTAAAAAGTGTTCCCTCTCTTCACTGAAATATATTTTTTCCTATTAAGAGTCTGCATTATGAGAGAGGCAAGGCAATGAGACCTGTTTTTCGGTTTTGTCCTTTTGATTATTTAGGGTGTATAAGAGGTACCTGGGACCTGTTGTGACAAAACCTAAGCATGCAGTCCCTCAGTAAGGGTACTGGGCCCCTGATGGGGGAAAGCAGCTATGCTCCTGACACCTTGCTAGCTACCAGACTGACACTGGCCAGTCGTGGGGAGAAACCTGGCAGCTGGTCTGTGCTTGACAGGTCTACTTGGAATTTGCTCAGTGGTCCGATGTGGCTGACAAAGTGAGCAAGAGTGACTTACTGCTCTGTAGTCCAGAAACATTTCTTTAAAAGCCAGAAAATCTGTAAACGTGAGCAGCATGTCAAATATGTCACCAGCCACTTCATCTTTATGGTGCCTGCAAAAGAAAAGGATGGCTGTTTCATCAAAGACTGAAACCGATTCTGTCTCTTCAAGATCCCACCAGAGGGTTTTTGAGGGCCTCCCACCCCAGGACCTGACCACCAAGTGCTCTAACCTTCACGTTCATGCAGTGAAGAAAAAGGAGGGTCTTTTTTCAGAGTGGAGGAGGAGGAAGGGGGAGAAAAAAACACAGAGTCAAGCTCAACTCACTGTAAAGTTGTGGTGAAAGCTGCCATGTTAAATCCAGGAATCCGCTCCAACAGCTGTTCTTCAATATACTTTTCTACCAAAGAAATCTGTCGCGGTGGAAAGGATCTTGGTTTTAGGAAAACAAGGCTGCTTTCCAGAAAGCCTGGCCTCCAGCCCTTTGCAACCATTTTCTAAGAGCCTATTCTGTGTGCCAGGCTCCACGCCGAGCGCTGGGGACACCACAGAACCCCAATGCAGCGCCCGTCCTCAGTGAGCATGCGCCCTGGCCCACGCGGGACAGCGGCTGCGCAGGGAACCGCCCTGCGACAAACGACCGCGCCGCCGTAGGTGGAGGCGGCGGACAGCAGGGCGCCCCCCCCGCCCCGCCCCGTGACAGGAAGCCAGGAATGGAGTAAGTAGGACCTTTTTTCTTGGGTAGGTGGAATCTGTAAAAAGAACGTACAAAGAAGCATATTGTTGCAGGTAATCGGTTTCCTTATAAGCGGAGGCCCGTCTGGAGAAAACCGTCGAGTCCGCCATGTTTCTGAGGTTAAGAAAGTGGGGGAGGATCAAACCTTTGCTCAGACAGACGAGATCGTTCCAGGAGGTTACGTGAGGCCTCAGCACAATGGAAAAACCTGAGGGTCCGGAGTTGAGACTCCTGGGTTCTAGTCTTGGTCTCCCCACCAACTAATTAATGATCTCGGTCTTGGTTTTCACTTCTGCCTAACAGTCATGCAGTACCTAACTGGACATGTAGTAGAAAAAAATAGTTGCCCCTTGAACGGTAAGGGTTTGAACGGCATGGCTCCACATATATGTGGGTTTTGGTTTTGGTTTTGGTTTTGGTTTTGGTTTTGGTTTTGTTTTTGATAAATACAATACAGGACTTTAATTGTATTTTCTTTATGATTTTAATAACATTTTCTTTTCTCTAGCTTCCTTTATTATAAGAACACAGTATAGGATACCTCTACAAAATACGTGTTTATCAATTATTTCCGTTATTGGTAAGGCTTCCAGTCAACAATAGGCTATTAGTTACATTTTTGAGGAGTCAGAAGTTATACAGGGACTTTGGACTGCACAGGCATCGGGACCCCTAGTCCCCACATTTTTTTTTTTTTAAGATTTTATTTATTTATTTGACAGAGACATAGCGAGAGAGGGAACACAAGCAGGGGGAGTGGGAGAGGGAGAAGCAGGCAGACGCCCAACGACTGAGCCACCCAGGTGCCCCTCCTCACATTGTTTGAGGGTAAACTGTAGTGTGTGCAAGTCCAAAGGTCAAAGCATATGAATGCAAGGTATTGTGAACCCATATATTATAACTGATTATAACTGAAAACAGGACTATAATCAAGCCATTTTTTAAAACAGAAGTTGGACAAAAATCACCAAACACTGCAGAGGAAAGCAATGGGAGGTGAAAACTAGACCGGATTCTAAACAACTCCTGGCAGGTATTGGTGGCAGCTTCTAAAAGTGCAGCAAACGTCAACATCTTTTGGTTTTAAATTCACAAAATGTGAATTTAAATCTTAATCTCCGGGGAGAGAAACAAAACCACTTACGTATTCGTTAAAAATAGGCGTGTAGGTGAGTTTATTCTCTTCTGTGTCTTCAAACTCCTGATAGTACTTGTCCATGAAATTTCTCTGTAATAACTGGAACTCGGCATCTGAACCACAATAGGGAAATTTTATGCTTTTCAGTAGAGACTAAAAACCATTCTGACTGATAAACAGGCAGGAATTCTGCGCCAGCATAACGGCTTTCTCAGTGGCCGGTCTCTAGGAGAGGGAAAACTAAAGATGTTTTAAGGAAGTGTTCAACAGGACACTGACATTCAAAGAGCCCAATCCAGTCTTTTTATTAATAACAAATGCTAATATTTTCAATCACATAAAATTCACCATTTTAACCATTTTGGAGTGTGGTTTGGTGACATTAAGTACATCTCCGTTGTTGTGCAACCATTACCACCATCCTTTGGTCCATTTTAAACACACCCAAACGGTGGCTTGGGAACTCCTTTACATTCCTTTTCCACAAAGGAATGGGATGGTTCTCTCTCTTTCTTAAAGATTTTATTTTTTTGAGAGACAGAGAACGAGTGAGAGAAGAGCTTGAGTGGAAGGGCGGGGCAGAGGGAGAGGGAGAAGCAGGCTTCCCACTGAGCAGGGAGCCTGATGCGGGGCTCAATCCCAGGACCCTGGGATCATGACCTGAGCTGAAGGCAGATGCTTAACCGACTGAGCCACCCAGGCGCCCCAGGATGGTTCTCTTTTAATAGGATTTCAGCAGCTATGGTGGAAACAGTGTAGTGATTAAGCATATGGGCTCCGATCCTAGCTCAGTCACTTAAATTGTGTGACCTTGGGGACATTTCCTAGTATCTCTAAGCCCCACTTCTGTCAACTAGCGAATGAGGATGATAGAGTACCTATCATAAAGGATTGCCAGGTGGAATTCAGAGGATTCGTATAGAGATTAGCTTATAGCAAACACCTAAATGTGAAAGAATAAGGAATTTTAACAAGTGAAGAGAATATTCTGAAAATAAAAGGAAAGCTTCACAAGTGACCTAGCCTTTAGGATAAATACCCTGAACTTTAAAAAGGCTCCTTTTCCCACGGCACACAGGGTGCCCAAATGGATGGAAGAACTCAAAAGTATTCCTGAAGATTCCCCAGAAGCCCTCAGATTCACACAGGACAAGGGCTTACTGGTGAAACCTCTGTATTTAGGTGTTAAGGGCGTGAACCTTTTTGGGACCTGAAGATACAAAAGCTTGGGTCAGTAATTTTCAGACTAGACTAGACTACGAACAGATTATGAAATACCACCAAAATAATGGAGTCCCTTTTTTTGCCTCATTTAAAGAAAAAAAAGTTTTCTCAAAGTTTTTCACTCCCATGTTATTTGTCTTAAACCTTGGGTGCCTGTTACTGCTTATTATACTTAGCAGGTCTGTATGCACCAAAATGAATGCACAAAGAGGAACTCAGAACCCAGGAAAATACAGAACCAGCTGAAGTATGGCACTTACTTTCTTCATGGACACGTGTGCTATGGCTATGGTATTACGCTGTGGTTCATGTCATGAAAACGTTAAAGCTCAAAACTGAAAGATGGAACTCCTCTTACTCTCTGAAATAAAGTAGGTCAGTCGCTCCTGAAGTTTTGCCAAGAGGCTCCTGAAGTCTAGGGCCCCATTACCTGAATAAGTCCCTCCCAGGACCTGAAGCTGTGGTTATTAGTTGTTAAAACCATGGGGGATGTTTGCCTCTAAAATCACAGTAAGGCTTACTTAATATTATTCTGTGCTACATTAAAATTTATATTCAGCTTGCTGTTTTCTCTCAATATTAACTCTCCAAACCGCAAGGGTCTAAGAACTAAATTTAGAGCACAGGTTAGACTGAGGCTCAAGGAAGCTTACCCATGATAATGTCCTCTAAATATCCAACCACAGCATCAAATTCTGCATCAGAGGCGGAAGAGCTGAAAAATAGAACTGGATTAGGTGCTGTTTCAAAGAATTCGCTTAAAAAAGTGTATCAGGGACATTTTCAAACATGCCTAAAAAAGAACAGCAAAGTGAACTTTCCATCACCCAGCTTCAACGAATTAAGACTGATTATTGCCTAATGTAGCAATTCCGAACAGGAAAACCCACTTGACACATTTGTGACATCGAAGTTGAATGGCTCCATTTTCAGAAAACCTGTTAGGACACAAGGAGCCACAAAAGGGACAAATAAAGGGGAGCAACGGCTCGCAGGGCACATCTGAAGGCTCCTCGCATGTTTGTCCTTCAGGTTTACTCACCGCATCTTCGCTATCACCCCACACCTATCGGCTTGTGAGCGTGAACCTGGCGCCAGCGAGATACTGGCCTGGGGGGCAATCGGATCAGGAGTCCCCGAAGGAGTTGATGGTGGAAGTGGTGGTGGTGGAAGGTCCTCTGACCCGTGGTCGGCCTCGGCAGCTCAAAGCTGCCAGGTTTTGCTGACGACTAAGGGTCGGGGGCGGGAGGACTGTGATGGAGGCGTTGCTCATCGCGTGACACTCTCCCCGCGCTCCCGTCCTCCCGGCCTGAACCCGGCGGTCGCTGCGGCCGCGCAGTCGGCGGCGGGACTGGGGCGGAGCCTTGGCGGTCCCTCACCCCCATCTCCCCCTCCAGGACACCGTTTCACAGGGCGGAGGCCCAGGCGAGCGCCGGCACTGCCGGGCGGCGTCACTCACAAGGCCAGCGCGAAGCTCTCTTCCTCTGGGGCGTCCATCGCCGCCGCCGCCGCCGCATCCACCGCGGGGCGAGCGGGCCGGGCGGCCTCCTACCCTGCTCGCGGCCCGGGCCCAGCCTCCGCTCTGCTCCGTAGCGCCCCCACGCGCATCTAGGAGGCCTCGCCGCCGACGCCGCGGCCGCTCACGGCGCAGCCGGGTAGGCCCTGCGTGCGAGGCCCGGGCCTCAGGCTCCCCGGCAGCGGCTACGCGCCTGCGGGGCCCCCCCACACCCGGCCAGGCCTCTCAGTGCGCGCCGCTGCCGCTGTGGGGTCCGGGCGTCAGTTACCCACAGCCCGGGCCCGCGCCCCGCCCCCCGTCACCACGGCCACCAAACCCCTTCTGCCGCCTCGCGCTTCCCGAGAGCCAATCGCAGGTCCGCGCTGCTTGACGCCGGGGGTGGGGCAAAGATGGGGCGAGGAAGTGAGGGAAAGGGATTGAGAGGCACTAGGGGAAGCCTTTGGAGACTCCATGGGGCGCTTGCTTGGGGTTACGGGAGTGTTCTCTCGCTTTGTGGCGGTTAAATCTCCCATTGCCCCCATTTTATGGAGGAAGGGATGGAAGCGAAGAGCCTCAATTTCTTCACTTGCAATTTGGGAATAAATTACAGGATTTAAGAAGATTAAATAGGGGGCGCCTGGGTGGCTCAGTCCTTGAGGTGGGACTCTGATTTCCGCTCAGGTCATGATCTCAGGATCCTGCGATTCATCCTTGCGTGGGACTCCGCACTCAGCGTGGAGTCAGCTTGAGATTCTCTCCATATCTCTCTGCCCCAATCCCTTGTGCTCTCTCTAAAATAAATATCTTTTTAAAAAGATTAAATCGTTTAAAGTGGGTTTTAAGAGCACTGTAAACTGCAGATTTCTTGGGAGCCAATCCCTTAGCTTTTGAATCAGATAATGCAGACTCTGATTCTCAAGACAGTTACTCCCTTTTGCGGAAAGAAAGCCCACCGCAAGAGGTAGACGTCTTGTAATTTACATCATAAAGATAATAGTCACACAAAAGGATAATGTTCACATCATAAACATTATTTGGCATATATTAGTTCCTTGGCTAATTAGGCAAGATAAAAGTTGACAGTCACTGAATCAACGTAATCAGAAATCGGGTCACTTTGTTCCAGGAAAACTCCCAAACTGCCAAATTTTGCAAAAGGATTCCCTAGAGCTGATTTCTCTTGATTGGACCACTAGGCGTTATGTGTCTTTGGTTGCATTATACCCTTGGGCCAAATGTGTGGTACATGTCTAGAGTGATTTAAGGTCTGGCTTAGGTTTGATCTGAGGGTCAGATGGCCAGCCTGAATGAACTGACATTTTGAATGGATATAAAATAGTGAAGGGGTGTCTGGGTGGCTCAGTTGGTTGGTTGGGCAATCCACTCTGTTTTTGGCTCAGGTGGTGATCTCCGGGTCATTGGATGGAGCCAGTAATCTGCTTGTCCTCTCCCTCCCCCTCTGCCCCTCCCCTTCTCACTCATGCTTGCTGTCTCTATCACTCTCAAAAAAAAAAAAAAAAAAAAAAAGGTAACATTGGGTTCTGGAACTAAAAATGGTTACCAAGACACTGTTATATCCAGGGTGAACGAGATCAGTTCTCAGAGGTACTATAGTCAGCACCAAGTAGAAGACAGGTATCTATAAAGGTTTGCTGATTAACTAGACTGAATTACATTTAAGCTAAGTGCTGGTTTTGCGGCTCAAAAGCAACCTCAGCATTTCCTCATGACCTATTTTTCTTTATAAACCACTTATTTCTTCTGGACTAAATGAACTTGCCCACCCTTTTTCTACTTCTAAATCATATATGGGATCAGAGTGGAGTAGGAAACTTGATGATTTCATCTGTTCTGGTTATCTATTGCTGTTACAAACCACCCCAAAATTTAGTGGCTGAAAACAACGATTATTGTGCTTACTAATCTGCAATTTAGGCAGGACTTGGTAGGGACAGCTAGTCTCTGTTCCACTTGGCATCAGTTGGGGCAGCTGGAATGGGGCTAGAGGAGCTTCTTCCAACATGCTCACTCACATGACTGGCAAATTATTGTTGGCTCTTGGCTGGGAGCTCAGCTGTGGATGTTTGTTAGAGGACTGGTGGTTGGCAGGGAGGGGGCTCCTCAGTTTCTTTCCCCGTACGTCTTCTCAGGGATGCTTGGGTTTTCTCACACCATGGTGGCCGGGTCCAAGAGCAAATATTTCAAGAGACAGGAAGTGGAAGTTGCCAGTCATTTAGGGACTGGAAACTGGCACAGTCTCACTTCCACTGAATTCTATTGTCAGACAGACACAGAGCCCATCCAGATTTTAGGGGAGGGTACATAAACCTCATTTATATAGATGGGAGGGATGTCAAACAGTTTGTGGCTATTTTTAATTCACTTCACCATGTCTGGCTTTTTTTTTTTTTTAAGAGATTTTATTTATTTTTTGAGAGAGAAGTCACACTTAACCAACTGAGCCACCCAGGCGCTCCCACCATGTCCAGCTTTAGGAACAAATGGGCGGGGCGCCTGGGTGGCTCAGTCATTAAGCTTCTGCCTTCGGCTCAGGTCATGATCCCAGGGTCCTGGGATCGAGCCCCTCATCGGGCTCTCTGCTCAGCAGGAAGCCTGCTTCTCCCTTTCCCACTCCCCCTGCTTGTGTTCCCTCTCTCACTGTCTCTCTCTGTCAAATAAATAAATAAAAAGTCATTAAAAAAAAAGAACAAATGGGCATAAATAATAGGTACCCATTTACTCAGGCATGTGCCAGTTACTGTGCTAAACATTTATATAAGTACATTGTCTCTTTTTTTTTTTTAAAGATTTTATTTATTTGAGACAGAAAGCACATGAGAGGGGGGAGGGCCAGAGGGAGAAGCAGGCACCCGCCGAGCAGGGAGCCCGATGCGGGACTCGATCCTAGGACTCCAGGATCATGACCTGAGCCGAAGGCAGTCCCTTAACCAACTGAGCCACCCAGGCGCCCACATTGTCTTTTTGAAATACTTGAAACTCTGAGAAAAAAAGAAACTTCTAAAGGTTTTGTTATCTTGATCTTACAGATTAAGAAACAAAGGCTTAGAAGTACTTGCATACAGGTGATAAGTGGCATCAGGGAGCTGGAACTGGGTCCAGGCTTATTCCCAAGGGCATGTTTAACCGTCATGCTTATATATGGCTCCAATCCCTGAGTTCTCAAACAATACTCCTAGAAATCAGAACATGGTATTTTTCTGCTCAAGACAGAATGGTGGCCTTTAAAGGAAAAATTTAAAACTTACTTGGAGATATTAAATGTTTTCCATTAATAATCATTTCCTAAATCCTTTGATTGTGGGTAGAGCATTAAAAAAAATTTTTTTTTAAGATTTATTTATTTGGGGGGCGCCTGGGTGGCTCAGTCGTTGGGTGTCTGCCTCCGGCTCAGGTCATGATCCCGGGGTCCTGGGATTGAGCCCCGCATTGGGCTCCCTGCTCTGCAGGAAGCCTGCTTCTCCCTCTCCCATTCCCGCTGCTTGTGTTCCCTCTCTCTCTGTGTCTCTGTCAAATAAAAAAATAAAATCTTAAAAGAAAAAAAAGATTTATTTATTTGGGAGGGGGAAGGGGCAGAGGGAGAGAATCTTCAAGCGGAATCCCCACTGAGTGAGGAGCTGGGTAGGGGGCTTGATCCCACAGCCAGTGAGATAATGACCTGAGCCAAAACCAAGAGCCAGACAATCAAACTACAGAGCCACCCAGATGTTCCCACATTAAATTGGGGGCACCTGGATGGCACAGTCGGTTAAGCGTCCCACTCCTGATTTCTGCCCAGGTCATGATCTCAGGGTCGTGAGATGGAGCCCCCTGTTGGGCTCCGCACTCAGTGCGGAGTCTGCTTGTCCCTCTTTCTCCCCCCCACCCAGCTCATGATCTGACTCGCTCTCTCAAATAAATAAAACCTTTAAAACAATTGTTTTAAGTGAATAAATAAAAAATGGCCAGTCTTGGAAAGAGCTGATCTTAGTTGGACGGTTTGTTTCCTGGATACATATTCAAGGTGTTGGAAATTCATGCAAGAGTCATTTTCTGCAAATGAAATTGTTTTGATTTCTGTGATTGAATCCTTGTTTCCTGGTGTGCAAATGGCACCATAACTTTACCTTGCTTTATTAATCATTCCAAAAAGATAGCAATTCATTAAAAACTTTTTTTTGCTAGAACCCTGGGAGCATTTACCCAATAAATCATTGGAGAAATGCCGTTAACTTAATTTTTTTTCTCTGTGGTACAATATATCATCAGTAAAAGCCTAGCTTTCAATTTCTCTTAAAATGCTTACATGCAATGCAGAATATTGATCTACTGTTTATTCTCTTCCACATTGCTTGTTATTCCCTAGTTTTCTATATGGTCTTTCCCTTTGAACCAGTTCCAAGATTACAACTTATGAACAAAATTCAAGGGTAGATTTCTATTTTTTTTTTTTTTTTTAAGATTTTATTTGTTTATTTGAGAGAGAGAGAATGAGAGACAGCATGAGAAGGAGGAAGGTCAGAGGGAGAAGCAGACTCCCTGCCGAGCAGGGAGCCCGATGCGGGACTCGATCCTGGGACTCCAGGATCATGACCTGAGCCGAAGGCAGTCGCTTAACCAACTGAGCCACCCAGGCACCCAGATTTCTAGAAAGCTAATAGGCTCCTGCATTCCTTTGATTTGTGACAGATTACCTATCAATGCTGTTTTTCTCCACTGAATTTATAGGCCACCTTCACCACTCTGCTGGACTCCAAAGTCTCCCTACTGGACTGTTTCCATGTTTTGCTCGTCCTCTGTCCTGCACCCCCCCCCATCTTTTCCATTCTCCATATAGATGCCAGGGCTATCTTTTAAAATTATCAAAGCACTTCCATGCTTAAACTCTTTTGTTTTCTGTTGCACTTTTGATAAAATACAAAATCCTCAGCATGACTTCATGAGCAGTCCCCTGACCTCTCCAACACGGGAGCACACTGTTCTACTCTCTGTTCCTAACTTACGAGCTATGGGGGCCTCCCATCAGATCCTGAAGCTTACTGAGCTTTCCTCCTTAGTTAGGCCTTAACCTAGAATGTTGTGTTCCCATAGCTGTGTGGTCCTAGAAGCTTGTCCTCAGTCTCTCTGCCTGGCCACGTCCTACTTTTTCCTTGGAGTTTTTACTAATATTACTTCCTCAGTGAGGTTTCTTCTGCCCCCTTCTGATGAAGTTTTAGAATATAAGTGAGGTCCGGAGCCGACGACCAAGAATTAAGATGTCTCTGGTGCAAAAAGCTGATTTTATTAAAGCACAGGGACAGGACCTGTGGGCAGAAAGAGCTGCTCTGGGTTTGTGAGGTGTGGCTGATTATATACTTGGAAGCTGGGGAGTTGAGGACAAAGCGGGTGTTCAGAAGGGCTGTCATATGCTAAAGAAGAGTCTCAAGATAATGGAGACCTGGCTATTGTCAAGCCAAGGCTGTTTTTCCCTCTAATAAGGTACCAACGTGAAGACAGTTGGGAGTTTCCTGGAGGAATGTTACATTCCTCCTATCACACGTACTTGTCAATGGGCTTTAGGTTTAGAAGAAATTCAATTTTATTTACATTTCCTTCTCTCAGCCTCCCTTAATTTTATGGAGGGGAAGGTGATGTTAGGGCTTCAGGAACCGAGTTATGGGTCTCTGGAAGTTAAGCTATTGGTAAGAAAGCTTCTTCCTTGGAAATCACTAGGACATTTGTAAACTGAGGGAGACTCCTGTTCTGCAAGACTGTGATCTCTATCAGTTAACCATTTGTTTTTCCTTTAGGGCAGCCAGGAGTGCCTGAGGAATGTCACATATACC